AGAAAAGTGAGGTTTGGACTAGGCAACGCCAAATGATGGAAGGTGCCTTGGTCCTGGTCTATGAACTGGACTGTAACTCTACCTACAGACATGGAAATACTACGAGAGCTTCAGTATCACCCATAAGAAACTGCCCCATACAGAGCATGTGTCTACTGGAATGTTCCTACTTCAAAAGGTACATTTAAGAGTGCTGGCATCCAGAAGCTGTATTTAAGCTGCACATTTAAGCTGTATTAAGCTGCATTTTCTGGATTCCTAATAGTAGGAAGAAACATGCTTAACCACCCCTGCCTTCAGCTGCCACTACCCAGCAAAAGAAGCTGTAGCACCATGACAAACATAAACAGCTGTTTACAAGGATGGATAGTGACAGGACCAGGGGAAGTGGTTTTAAACTGAGACAGGAGAGATTTAGGTTAGATATTAGGAGGAAGTTTTTCCCCCAGAGGGTGGTGAGGCACTGGCACAGGTTGCCCAAGGAGGCTGTGGATGCCCCATCCCTGCAGGCATTCAAGGCCAGGCTGGATGTGGCTCTGGGCAGCCTGGGCTGCTGGTTGGCGACCTGCACACAGCAGGGGATTGGAACTGGGTGAGCACTGTGCTCCTTTGCAACTCAGGCCATTCTGTGAGTCTATGATTCTATGACATCTGTAGAGATCCCAAAGAAGAGATGAAGCAGGGATGAGCCTCAAAAGAAGGAAGTGATTGAAGTGTTGAAGAACACTGCTCTGTCTACCCCTAGGCATCTATGCAGTATGTTCCCTACCAATGGGTAACCCCTCTCACTTCATGCTGCAATATGAACCCAACACCTTTTTCGTAACACTGCCTGTTATATTTCTGCCTGTGCATCAGAGGTACTGAGATAACACTGACTGTCACTGCCCTAACCCTCTTGTTGGATACACTCTGCAGCCTTCTAGATTCCCAAAAAACATGCAACAACCTGAACTGCCTTACTGCCATTTGGATCATCAGCTAAGACTCAAAAGGAATGGAAAACACTGGTGTAACATGCTCAATATAGATGAGATGTCATACCACAGATCTTGCTGAAGGTGGATATTACCAATGCCTCCAAACACCCGAAAGCATTATGACTGGCCTGATTATGGAAACAGGTCATCTACCTCTGTAACAAACTTTGTGCGTCTTTCTGGTTTTGTTTTTCATCTGTTAGTTCCATCATCATTTGGAAAACACTGTTAAGTCATGCTCAAGTTTTATATATCACATATTTATGGCAAATAAAAGCAGCAGTAAAGTGAGGGAGGATTATTCATTCACTCCTTCAGCAAGACATTTTGGAAGGATTTAGAGCTGAGGAGGTAGCCTGAGAGAGACTGGAAATTTACTGATGCATGTGCAATGCCTATTCGGGCTTCTGCTTCTCCTGAACTTCCATTTTGGATTATCCTAAACATTGTCAATAGCTACACAGCTGCTTCCCTTTGATAAAAGACTGGAGCACATTTAGCCACTTAAAAGCTATGCAAATGTTTCACACGTAACTTCCAGAAATTTGCTTTGCATGATGAGTTTTTACTACAATTAGAAGTATTTATCAAATTATTTAGGGAATACTTCATTGATGTAAACAAACAAGTACAAGGCTCCAGAAATGTCTAGCATTACACAGCGTGAAAGCAGCGAAGACTTAAAAATGAGGAACTCCATGCCCTGCCATCCAAGTACACAAGCACATCCCTATGCACAATGCTTCTCAAGTCAGTCAAGAGAACTACCCTGAGCATTCTGCATTCAAAATACCTCAGACCAGCACAGTCCTCCAGTTTCCCATAGAGCTCATCACTGCATTACAGAGGTAGTTGATGGATAAATTTTACTTGCAAACACTTAGTAACAATCATCTTTCTAAGCCTATTGCAGAGAAAAAAGGTCTTTTATCCAATTCCCCGGGGAAGGTTTCACAACTTAATTTTGCAATAGCCTGGACTAAAGAAACATTCAGAGTTACTCAATCTTTTGGCACTCCTTTGGAATATTCATCAAATAATGGCTACTCAAATCTGTTTGGAACAGTAATCCCTTCCAGCACAAAGCCAGGAACACACACTCCTACCAAGAAGGCACAAGTGGCTGAGCCTCTTCCCACTGCACCCCAGCACAGGCCATAGGTGAATTCACAGTCTGCCCTTGGATCACCCCACCCAACATGTCTCCCAGTCACTCCTTCTCCAATCCCAGGCCCTGCGCTTCCCTCGGACCTAAGCAGACCAAAAATAAGGAGAGAAGGAGGAGATGTTCTGCTTCCAAGAGACGTGGAGCTCCTGGCACGTGCATGTGTTAATACACATGGTTTTGTCGTGTTTTTGCAGAAAATGCATAAAACGGGTTTAACAGCCCATCGTCTCCCTAATTTCTCACCGATTGCCTTTTTTAAACAAAAAAGCTGTTACAGCATCCATTAAAAGAGGCTTTGGAACAAAGGACAGGCACAAAAACATTCAAGTAAGTAAACAATAAAAAGCTAAATGTACGAACATTTAGCATTTAACATGTCTGATAATCCAAACTGTTAAAAAACTGTCTACTTAGAAGCAAGGAAACAACAATATTTGACAGTATTTTTAATATAAAACTTTACAAAGGGATGCTGAAGGATACTATGAGAAAACATCCAGTCTGCCTCAATACCTAAACTGCTATAATAAATACCATGTAATAAATAAGTAAATTATTGGTAACTAGAAGTAACAAGTAGGTAGACACAAACAGAGAAAAAAAAAAAAAAAAAAAAAAAAGCAATGCTCTATAAGTGACAAATTTTTAGTATTATGAGTGAACATTACCACAACTGAGCCAAAAAAAAAAAAAAAAAAACAAGGAAAAAAACAACCCTCGTGACCTTCCACTAATGCAGAATGTAAGTCTTTTTTATTGTAACAGTGATATAAACAGAATGTTCTCAGAATGCTTTACACCCAATGCAGGGGGAAAAAAAGCCAAACAAACGAACAAACATAGGAACAACAGAAACAGGAGCACAAAAGCCTGAATGCAGCAAACAGGCAGCAAAGATAAAGAACAGTCATAACATTTTTGGAAAAACACAATCTGCAGTGAAACAGGGAAGTGCAAACTTACATCCCACGGTTTAACTCCTGGCCTGGTCCTGCAAGAAGGAAGCACTGACCAAAGACAGATACACTTCTGAGCATAACACACCAAAACTGACCTGTTGGACCAGAGTCCTCCGTGCTTTAATGAAACACCTGCCCATGCATACTATCACCCGTGAGAAAGCATGACTATTAATTTATAAGATCAGTTATCTCACTTTCACATTAAAAGGTATACACTGCAGATGCATCAAGAGGCATTGTACAGATTTTAGTCCGTACTACAAAAGGCAAACAACCTGAGGTGCTCACACAGCAAACTTCTGTCAACTTTTCAAAATGAATGCTGTGCAAAGCATATTTAACACAATTATAATGTTGTAAAAAAGCAGGTAACTGCATATCAACCCTCACTTGTCAGAGTATCAGAGATATCATCTTTATGAGATATTTAAAGAAAAATGTTACTCGGGAACTCATGCGTGATTATGAACAAGAGTTCACTACCCTTTTAAAATGTATCTGTATGTGTTTGCTCTCAAAAAAAAAGGATTTGCAATCCTATCACCTTTCAATGCACACACTACGGTTCATAAGTGAAGTTACAGGACCATTTTCCTACAGCTTCCTTTTTACATTTCACTTCTGTTTGGGAAAAGAAGTTCTACACAAGCCATTTCCCCACTAAGCAGAGGTAAATCCCACTCTCTTTGACAAATGCAGTCACACAGAATAGACCCTTTTGCTTAGATAAAACACGCCACAGTAAATAAGGACACATGACCTCCACCAACAGAGATCTTGTTTGCTCACTGGAGGAAAGCTGGGAGTATGCTGTGCAGAGAATGATTTACATTCACAGGACATCCTTTCCAGGTCCTGAAAAATGTGCTTCTGCACCAACAGGAGACAGTTTGCTCTATCAGTCTGTGAACGTTTGCACAGCAGTCCTACAAACAGTGTTTGCTTCCACTTTAAAATATCCAAACCAAAGCTAAAGAAGCACAGACAGTTGCATTTTAAGGAAGAGAGAAATTGTGTTTTCTTAAAATCTGGAGTTGTGAGTGAGATGCCCAGCAGCTATGAGCAGTGTGTTGATGCACACATCAGCCTCATACAAAGCACTGGGTGAATTTCAGACCGCCTATGATGGCCAAAGCCCGTTGTATAAAACTTGTTGACAATGTTATTAAAATAGAAAACTAATATTTGATAGCAAAAGACACAGCCTCTTAAAAATGTCAAATCCAGGATTATAAAGCAATGCATTGAGATCCTGGATTTGAACTCGGAGCATAATCCAACCATCTGTCGACCAGTTGTGTTGCAAAATCAAGATAACAAACAGGAGTTTTTCTTCAGCTACAGCATTTCCCAGCTCCCGCAGTCACCGCGCTCCGCCTGCAGATTAACGGAACAGAGGTGACACCCGCCACCGGCAATAGGAAGACAGCGAGGGCAATCCTGCCTGGCCTCGGAGCAGCCTGGAGAGGCAGGTAGGCAGGTTCCGTCCGTCGCGCCGCTGCGCCAAGCCGAGAAGGGACGCGCATCCGAACTGCGGGACCCCCGACCCTCACCAGCACCGGAGGGGGCGAGAGGCGAGGAGCCCCGACAGAGCCGCCCGGCCGCTGAACCGCAGGGCGAACCCCTCAGCGCCGCCGCGCTCCATTCGCGCCGCCCGTCCCGGAGCGCTGCGCGCCGCAGGCAGACGCAGTCCCTCCCGCCTCGGGGCACGGCCCCGCGCGCAGCCCGGCCACCAGTTGCTGGGACCACCGCGCCGAAGTGGTGGAAGAACGGAGGCGGCAGCGGAGCCCCGATGGGAGCGGGACACCCGGCCCACGGGCGGGGATGCTCGACCCCGGGGGGACAGACCGGGGACCGGCCACGAAGCTCTCCGCTCCCTGCGCTTCTCACCTCCTTAAGTTCCTTGGCCACGTCTTTCAGGTCCCCCAGGACTAATTCCAAATCCTCCACGATTATCTTGATCTGCTCCTTCACCTTCGTTTTAGAGGCTGCCGGCGGCCCCTCGGACGGCGACGAGGAAGAGGATGCGGTCCCCTTAGACTGGGCGGACATCCTTCGGGACAGCCCGGCACAGCCAGGATGGGGGGGCACGCAGGTCAGGCGAGCCGCCCGGCCGCGTCCCTCCGCTTCCCAGAGCTGCCGCAGCCGCCGCCGCCGCCGCCGCCCGCCCGCCCGCGCATCGCGCTCCGCCGAGGGCGCCGCGTTGCGCCGCGCTCCGCCGGGCGGCCGCGCTGTGCAGCTGCCATCGGCTCTCGGGAGCGGCGCGGGGCTCAGCTGCAACCCGCCGCGCCTGCGCCTCGCCCCTCCCGCGCCGCCTCCCGGCCCCGGCCCCGCTCGCTCCGCTCCGAGTCCGGAGAGGGAGCGGGGGAGGAGCGCCCGCCGCCGCGTCACCCCCGCCGCGTCTCCCCCGCTGCGCTCCCGGAGCGGGAGAGACTGCCGGCTGCTCCGGAAGCGGCGCTCCTTCCCCCGTCGCTGCCCGAAGTGCGCGTGGCTGCATCAGCTGGCAGACGCTGGGCGCGGGGTGCGCGCTCCGGTACCGCTGGAGAGAAGCGCCAGTCCGGAGCAGCGCTCCGCGGGGAAGCGCTTCTCACGGCATCGTTCCAGTCCGAGGGGGCGGCGGTAGTGCCGAGTTTTTGTGCGGAAAGTCAGCGCTTGGCGCTACCGGACACGCTGCCGTGGGAGGAGGCCGCGCTGGCTCCTGCTCGGTTGGACGGTGCTGCCTGGAGGACCCTATAAGGAGAGTGTTCGTACATGCCACCAATTGGTAAAAGTTTCTCACAAGTCTGTTCCCACCACTGCTTGCTGCCCAGCAAACACACGGGAGACTAAATCGAGAAGTAAAGGTTCTTCATTTGATTTAATTGACATAAAAAAACGCACGTGCGCCAGAAGTGTTTGGTGGGATGCTGCCCAACTCTGGCCTCTGAAGTGAGAGCCCATGCTGAGTACGAGCACGCGCTCCTTCCAGCAACATGCTGAGATAAGTCTGTGGGGCACGAGAAAACAGCTGCCAGAAATCCCTCACCCCGGTGGCTTTTCTTGTGACTGTGAACAGGTGGCACATTCGGGTGGTAGGACCTGTGCTGGGTACCTCTAACTCCCACTGGCTGCGAGCTGCACGGGGAGGACACACAGCCAAATCCAGCTCCAGGACCGCCTGCCTGGCTGCAACTTACTGGTGCTGTGAATGCTCTGAGGGTTTTGGCAACCTATGATGTTTCAAGATAAAGCAGGGCAGGGGAAGCAGAAACCTCGCCCAGAGCCGTGTGTCTGTGTGTGGTATAAAGTCACATGCGGTGGCAAACAGCTTGCCTCTGGAGCGGGTGTGGGACTGGGATACGAATAGACAGGCTGACAGCATGCTTCTTGTTGTCTTGATTTACATGTAGTTATCTATGCACTTTTTACCTCTACAAAACCTGCAGTGTTCAGCTGAAATCATTTGCTAGTGTGCATATGCATATTGTCATATTGCATATTGCATTCTTTGTCATCTCTCAGAACTTTCAAACAATTTCAAGGAAGCCATTTTCCAAAAGATCCTGTGTCCTTCCTCTTGACTTTCCTCACATCTCTTGACATGTTATTTTCATCTCGCTAAAGCAGAAGCTCTCCTAACAGTGATGTTTAAAAGCATCCCTGCTGGTGATTTTTGCTTAGCAGTTTCTGTATGAGCAACAGCATCATATGATTTTTGAAGATGGCAAAGTAATGCAGTCTGAATCCCCAGGCGAGTCACCACCAAACCAGGAAGAAAGAAATGCACAAGTTGTTGAATAAGTTTAAAGTTAATAGTGTGTTCAGCTGCTGTTCATCAATGACATAATTTGAGCAGCTATAAATAAAATAGGTGAATAAATAGTTATAATAAGCTATTAGTGAAATCATTCATGTAGAACCCAGCATGTACCCAATTTATAACTACTGAAAGCAGTCTATTTTCTGACAGAAATGAAGGATACTGCGTAACAGAATGCTGCATACAACTTGACATGGCATAGCTCAAATACTTTCGGGATGATCTCTAATATATTTCTGTGGAAAACACCAACATTGTCGCAAAATTACTGCTAGGTTTCCTACAAGCCCTCTAACTATTTTCCAATCTAGTCGTGATTAGTCAGTCATGATTAGCCCTGCTTTTCTAACGGTGACCTACTGGTTATCTTCTGGGTGTAAAGTCCTGGCACCTCCTACTGCTAAATACTTTTATGACAAAAAAATTGATTCAACTAATGAGATGTCATTAGTTGAAGTCATGACAAGGCTTTACCCATATGCCCTAGTTTCAGCTGGGATGGAATCATGTACTCTAATGCCATCAAGTTATAAAGGGCCAAAAGCCATTTGTATTTCTGCAGTGATGGAGATCCAAAGATTTAAGAGCTTTGGAGGCTGAAGTGAGCCTAACCAGAACTAAGTGAGAAAAGCACTGCATTGCAAACGGCCTTGGGACCCTGTGCATCCTGAGTGTAGATTATCTCTGGAGAGGGTACTTCAAGGACCCAAAAGGATATTGATGGGCTTGTCTGGTCTCTCACAGGACCCTTCTGTTGTGGGATTTCAAAGAACAAAAGGACAGCAGAGGCCAACTGCTACTACAGTGGTGCACCAGCAGCAGTATCACACCATGCAGGACTCCCTAATTCCCATTCGCCAGCAGATTCACCAACTGGAAAACCATGGAGTAATCAGCAAGACTTACCCTTCAATAGTGCTGCTTGATGAGCAAAAAAGTCCAGTGGAGAGTGGGGGACAACGGTGAGCTACTGTGGCCTGAATAAAGTCACACCACTGCTAAGCACTGCTGTGCCAGACGTGCTAGAACTTCAATAGGAACTGGAGTCAGAGGCAGCCAAGTGATGTGCCACAACACCAATGCATTTTTCTCAGTCCTTCTGGCAGCAGAGTGCAGGGCACAGTTTGCTTTTACTTGGAGGGGCATCCAGTACACCTGGAATCGACTGCCTCAGGGGTGGAAACACAGCCCTGCCATTTGTCATGGGCTGATCCAGGGTGAGCTGCAACAGCGGGGAGCTCCTGAACACCTGCAGTACATGGATGGCATCATCATGTGGGCAACACAGCAGAAGAACTTTCTGAGAAAAGCAGGATTGCCTTTTAGTGGCATCCCACTAAAAACCCGTTTTGCTTTAAACCAAAGCAAGGTCAGTGGATTTTCACAGGAGATCCAGTTCTTAGAAATAAAATGGCAACTTGGATGCCATCAGATTCCTGTGGATGTGATCAATACAATAACTGCTATTCTCCACCAACTATCAGAAAGGAAACATGAGTTTTTTTAGGCATTATGGGTTTCTGGAGATATTTGGACTACAGTCTGATTGTAAATCTTCTCTGTCAAGTCACCTCAAAGAAGAATGATTTCACATCTCACAGGTAAGAATTTCCTCTTGATATCTAGAGTGTAGATTTAGATCAGCTATTAGGAAGAAATTCTTTACTGTGAGGGTGTTGAGACGCTGGAACAGGTTGCTCATCAAGGTTGTGGATGCCTCCAACTGTGTCGGGGTTGTTACAGCAATGGAAGCCAAGGCAATTTGCAACAAAGAGCCCAAGAAGCTGGGAGAGGACAGAATTAGAACAGCTGACTTAAACTTGCCAAAGGGATATTCCACATCATTTGAATCACAAGGAAGGAGTTTTAAAGGAGTGCATCTCTCTCTTCTGCCCCTTAAGGGACAGGTGGGCTATTGGTAGGGTAGTGAGCAATTGTTTGTGCATCGACTGTTATATAAATTTTTTTTGCTCTGTTTATCAGAGCAAGAGGGAAGATTTTTTTATATACCTGAAGTGAGACTGAGACGCAAGCAAGGTCAAATGTCGTTTGAGCACCCCATGACTCAAAGTTTGCTTAAAATGATGCATTGGTGATCAATGGTAGTGAGAAAAAAATTATATATAAAGAAAGAATGGGGAGGGGGATATCAAATGTTCTATACAATCATTACAGAAGATTTCTTGGGCTTGGTCACTAATGTTGCCCTGATCTGTTGTGATTCCCTAACAGTGGAAGAGGTTACAGAATTCATAAAAGATACCATGCCTTGAATAAATGGATTGAAACATAGTATGGGCATAAGTAGCACAAAGTAGATAAAAATATAACGCATTTTCCCCATGGGCCACCTGGAAGCCAAGAAAAGAAATGACAGTCTAGTTTTTCCAAGTTTGGATAGGAACATGGGCTATTTTCCGTATACCTTTAGCTATTTGCAAAATAACATTACCATTGTTGTCAATCTCTAGACAACAATTAGAATCATTCAGTTTGCCACAGACACCTCCTCCTTCAGCCAGTAAGTAGTTGAGAGTCCTGCGATGCTGAAGTATTGCTGCTTGTGGCTTGCTCTGCAAGGAGTTCAAAGACATAAGATGTTTCAGATTGTAATCTGATCATGCAGTTCAGGTTATAAAACGGTTCTCAAGCATCCATTCATTGGAGTTGCGTGTAGCCAGCCCGTAGCTTTTGATTATGTGCTGCAGTGGCCAGTTGTCTTTACTTTAGTGGCTAAGTTTGGCTATTACCACTTGTTATGGAGATGTCAATGAACCACTGTTGTTGTATGAGATCTTTGTATACTTTGACACCCAATTCATCAGCACCTTTCCCCAGGAGCAAAAAGAACACTGGGTGGATTGTTCCCACATAGCGTACACCAGTCCAGTTTGCAGGTAGTTGCTTGCATTCACAGTGGCCAAAAACTCAGAAATGTCCCTGTAGTGCTACTGACCCATTTTCAAAAGGTCCATTCCATTTTGCAGCAGGTTAATTTACATGTTCCTTAGCATGTATGTATGTGGTGCTGAGAGATCCAAAAGGATGTCCTGCTACATTACAGTTCCAGCCTTTACCAATATCACTTTTCACTCTGCACCACCTACATCTCCAAGCCCCAGCATGGAGCTCCCGGCAATACATACCTCCAGCTTCAGGGAACAGAGTGCTGTTTGTGTAGGAACAGAAATTAGGAAATCCTTCCCCTATATAAAGTAATATTATTAGTTTATAAAAAGTGTGGTTTCCTGTCTCATAGCTCATTTTATGATAAACCCAAGTGCAATTGCTAGTCCCAACATGGATACCACTTGGATGAGTTTGATTCAGGC